TGCTTTAGAACTTGGGCTGCTTCAAGGTACTTCTGCGWGTTGGGCTTAAGTTGTGAAATGGGCCTGGCTACGAACTTGCTCCAACTTCGGAACCATTTTCGTACTCGATTCGGGCCGAATCTGTAGAAATCCAAAACATAAAAGTTGTGGGCCTCCCTTTCATATTTCTAATGCTTCTTGAATTGTCCAATTCGGAGTCCGGAATTGAGAGTTAGGCCCAGATTACTGACTGTCGCTGAAACTGTGTAAAATCACCCGATTTGCCCTGTTTTCTTCAAATTGCCTTCTTTATTGCCCTGAATCGAAATGCAAGAGTAATGAGTCCATTTAAGTGCTAAATAAATGTAAAAGAGTGAATATTAGGGGATAAAAATAGGGTTCTTTTTGGTCTCATCAGACATCTTTCTATTTGTTGCCAAGACTCTAAGTTCATCATTATCCCTATTGACTTACATATGAAGCTTCAATAATATATACGTAAACAATGGTGACATTTGTTTCTTTGATTTTTTTTTTATTTCTTTTTCTAGCAGGCTTGTAGTTTAAGAGGTAAAGATGTGAATGGCTATATCATAGTTATTATTTGCATTTGGGCCATATCTTATAAACTGATTTGTTTATTGAAAAATTTTTATTCTTGTTAATGCTATTCTAGTTAGTTACTTTTATTGGGAGCCCTTTAACTTTTTTAATTTTTGGCTCAATGGGGCTACACAATGAGATCTCCTAAACCCTAGTGCGGGTGGGATTTGATCCCAAATCTTTACCATAATCGATCAAAAATAGGGTATTTGGGTACCTTTCAAGATTAAAGTAACCTTTTAATTAAAAAACAAAGTAACGCGGACCCATACAATGCACATGCTTTGTTAAGCATAAGTGAAACAATAAAAACACATAAGAATAAACAATTAATAAATTAAATTTTCTGAAAACTATTTTCTAAAACTATTAATTGATATAAGTGATATAATGTTTTTATTATTAGAACATAATATCTATTAAAAAAATATTTTTTTCAAAGTTATTACACATTTTTTTTATTTGTAAGCTTCAATACATCTAAATTACTTAATCTATTTTTCATTATTTAAATAATATTTTGAATTATTAAATTATTTATATTTTATATTTTATTATAAAATATTGTTAAATATATTCTAATTATTCTTTTTAATATTTTTAAAGTTATTACATAATTTCATTATTTAATCTATTTTTTTTATTTATATAATATTATAAATATGATTTCGTTATTAAGTTTTTTGAAATTTAAGATATTTGAAATTTAGTGATTTAAATAATTTCTTCATTTAAAATTTTAAAATATTAATTATTTGTTAAAGTGAATAATCCATAAAACTATAATATATATCATTRTTACATAAATTCATTATTATTTTTGTAAAATATAAAATTATTATTAATTTAATTATTGTGAAATATATTATAATTATTTTTCTACTTCTAAGAAACTTTTTCAAATTTATTACAAAACTTTATTATTATAAATTTTGAAAATTTAGTTATGTTAAATATTTTGTTCTTTAAAATATTTAGTTAGTTATTGAAATATTTAAATAATATTTAATTTTTTTTATTGAAATATTATTTATTTTAAATTTATTACATAATATTAAATATTTTGTTATGTAGCTATTAGAAATTTTTAATATTTTATTATTTAAAAAATTTGTTTATATAAATATTTAATTAATATTTTTATTTATGAATTTTTATTATTTAAAATACATTGATATAATTTTGTTATTTAAATTTTTATAATATTATTTTGTTATTAATTGAATTATTCACAAAATTATAATTTATGTTGTTTATGCGTAATTTCATTATGGATTTTGTGAAAATATAAAATTATTAATAATCCGAATATTATTAAATCTATTATAATTATTTTTGTTTTTTAATCAATGTTTTAAAGTTATTACATAATTTTGTTATAATATTTAAATAATTCTTATTTTTTAATTCCAACTTTCTTTGGATAGATATAGATGAAAAAGTGGGGGAGAGGATAAATTGGAATTAGAGATCATTTAGGATAGAATAATGTTTGCTTTTTTTTGGAGATATATTTTCTTAAAACAATTCCTTTTTTATGGGAAAGTGGAGGGAAGAATAGAGGGGAGTTGGAGTAGAACTGAAGTAAAGTGCCACGTGACTAGACAAGTAGACATCATAAACACAGATCTCTCTTTTTTTATCTATCGGTTGTTTGTAAAAATGATATAGAATAAAATAAAAAAAATGAAAAGTGATAGATTTCCTTATTTTACAATATATATATATATATATATATATATATATATATATATATATATATATATATATATNTATATATATATATATATATATATATATATATATATATATATATATATATATATTATAGATTAAGTATTTGAATTCCCAATGGTGATTACGTCTCCATGATGGAGGCAAGGTTCAAAGTATCCATGGTGGAGGTAAAGTTTATTCAAAACTTTATTATTTTAAATATTGAAAATTTAGTTATATTAAATATTTTGTTCTTTAAATATTCAGTTAGTTATTGAAATATTTAAAATATTTAAAAATTTTGTTTTTTAAATATTATTTATTTTAAACTTATTACATAATATTAAATATTTTGTTATGTAGTTATTAGAAAATTTTAATATTTTATTATTTAAAATATTTGTTTATATAAATATTTAATTAATATTTTTATTATTTAAAATGCATTGATATAATTTTGTTATTTAAATTTTTTATAATATTATTTTGTTATTAATTGAATTATTCACAAAATTATAAATTATGTTGTTCTTGCGTAATTTCATTATGGATTTTGTAAAAATATAAAATTAATAATAATCCGAATATTATTAAATCTATTATAATTATTTTTGTGTTTTTAATCAATGTTTTAAAGTTATTACATAATTTTGTTATAATATTTAAATATTTAAATAATTCTTATTTTTTAATTCAAAATTTCTTTGGATAGATGTAGATGAAAAAGTGGGGTAGAGGATAAATCGGAATTAGAGATAATTTAGGATAGAATAATATTTACTTTTTTTGGAGAGGCATTTTTTTTAAAACAATTCCTTTTTTTATGGGAAAGTGGAGGAAAGAATAGAGGGGAGTTGGAGTAGAACTGTAGTAAATTGCCACGTGACTAGACAAGTAGACATCATAAACACAACTCTCTTCTTATCTATTGGTTGTTTGTAAAAATTGATATTATGCATTTGAATTCCCAATGGTGAATAAATCTCCATGATGGAGGCAAGGTTCAAATAAATGCCAAGTGTATTAAAAAGGCAATTTTAAGAGATATATCGGGATATGCCTTGGATACGCATGTGTATCGGAGAAAAACTAAAATATGCATATATATGCTTGGAAACACTATAAATACTTTAATAAATCATAAAAATGCATCAATAAAACTAAATATAAGACCTCAATAGGTGTATATACATTAAATTAATATACTTTAATGGTTTTATGGAGAAATATATTGTAGTTAATTATAATTTCATTAAAAATCCCATGCTTAACTATAATTTATAAATTATAATTCTTAAGTTTTAATGTTTTATGGAATGGAAAAAACCCAACTCTCCTATCCAACCATAAAACATGCATTGGCGCAACTTTTAAGTAAAATCTAATTAATAATTAGTGATTATTTAAATATTTTTTATTTATTTTCAAAAATTATAAAAAATAAATAAACATTATATAGTATATTCAAAAAATAGTTATTAAAGAAAACATTTCAATCGCTTTGTGGATATGATAGATGATCCATAGAATTATAATATATTCAATAATTGTGATCAAATGATAAAATTTATTTAATTCTAAAAATATAAAAAAAAACTAATTATTAAAGAAGAAAATTCAACTGGTCTGTGAATATGATAGATAATCCATAGAATTATAATATATTCAATTGTTGTGATGAAATAATAAAATATAATTAATTATTATTTATTTTTTAATTCTGAAAATATGAAAAATAAAAAAAATATTAAAGAATAAATTTCAATTGCTCTATGGATATGATAGATAAATCCATAGATCTAAAACATATTTAGTCTTTATAGGCAAAGAAAAAATTATATTTTCAAAAATTTTGTTAATTTATATTTTCCCCAAATATCTTTATGAAATTTCCATAAATCTAGTGATAACACAAAAAAAAATTGTGATTTTGAATGTAAGAAATGTATATTAATATAAAACATTCAAGAAAAAAAAGAAATCACAAGATATTATAAAAAATTAAAAAATCTTATCTATTTTTACCATATTTTTTTCAAAATTTGAAAAATCTTTAAAAAAATTAATGATTCATACTTGTTTCTTGCAAATTTTTGCAAAATTTGAAAATGTATTTTTGTCTCCAACGAAATTGGAGGAACGAGACCAAGAGTATAATCACTACTCACTAAGGTTGAAACTTTGTGAGTTTGGGTTGAGATTTTATCAAAAAAAGTATGGGCCAAACCGTAACCCGAACCCGAAGCAATATAAAGAAAATGTTAATTCGGGTTAACCCGAATCACCGCCCAGAGCTCGCCCGGTTTCCATTCATAGTGCGCGAAGGCGAAGGGGATATGACCGGGATGTTCCTCTAGAATGTTGTGGACCCGGGTGGACGTCCCCAACTGGTAGTTTATTTGCTTTTAGCTGAAAATTACAGTTGCAGTTGGGGCCCTGCAAAAGCCTGGATATGTATAAATACATACAGGCCAAAATGTTGCTTTATTTTATGATCGAAAATGGGTATTTGGCTTTTACATTCCGTTTCCTTGTCCCACTGCAAACATGCTGATTCGATATACAACGGAAGAAGAATGGCGGTTTTTTAGATCCAGATCGGATCTTGCTGAATGTGAGCATGGTTTGTTTCTATGTTAGCGGTTACGAGACGCGTCGATTTCTTTCGAGTTTTCGATAAAATCTTTCTGGGAGCACGTAGTGGTCTGATGAGAGAGCTTCCTTCGAGCTTCGTCTGGGCTCTGTTCTGTTGAATGGTTATTGGGTTTTCTGTATCCATCAAAAAAAGTTATTGGGTTTTCTGCGTTTCTTATCAGGAATGTTGATGCTTGTTTCATGCAAGATGTGCTGAAGCCTTTTTTTTCAAGGGTTTTGATTCTGCTCAAATTTGTTTTTCTTTTTCCTTTTTAGAGTATTGGTTTGTTTGGCTTGCTTTTAGCTGTTTCCTTACTTTTGATTTTCCGTTTTCGATCTTTTGGTGGAGAAATGCCTTCTTTATTCTTTTACCATTTGAAGTTCCGCTGATTTGGAATCTGTAATGGGTAGTTTCTGCTTTTGTCTTTGGTTTGAGTTTTGGGATTGGGGCTGACCGGTTTTATGGTATGAAGGGATTGGTCGATAGGGGTTAGAACTGGGATTTTTGTTTCTATATTGAAGAGATGAAAGTATGAAACCGTTTAAGCCGTTTTAGGATCTTCTTTGGAAATTTCATTTTTTTTTCAGGAAATTCTTGTATAAAATGGGAATCCTTTAACTCATTTAAGAGGGCTACAAGGACTACTAGCCTGATGGTTTCGTGTTTGCCTTCAGGTTTTTGTTTATTAGCTTGTGTTTGAAGAGTTGGCGTTAGGAGTTTGGCAGTTCAGGTGGATTTCTTAACAGTGATAACAACCTGAAGAACATTGTTGCCAATTCTAGGGTTGCTAGGGTTTTTTTTCTTTCTTTCTTTTTTTTTTTTTTTTTTCATTTTGGTCTTGAGATTTCGGATGGAGGGTATTCTGTGAAAGTTTGGTGAATGGGGATTCAGACAATGGGGTCTCAAGGTGGTGGTGGTGGCGGCGGCCAACAATCGCAATTTCAGCCATTGTCTCGGCAAAGCTCATTGTATAGCCTCACACCCGATGAAGTTCAGAACCAATTGGGGGACTTGGGGAAGCCACTGAGCAGCATGAACCTTGATGAACTTCTTAAGAATGTCTGGACAGCGGAAACAAACCAGGCGATGGGGATGGATGTGGCCAATGCTGCCTCAGCTGGTCAACTTGCTTCGGCATCTGCTTTGCAGCGACAGGCAAGCCTGACATTGATTAGGGCTCTCAGCAAGAAGACCGTCGATGATGTATGGATAGATATCCAACAAGGCCAGAAAAATAGTGATGAAGAAAAGAAAGTTCAGGAAAGGCAACTGCAGCGACAGGCAAGCCTGACATTGATTAGGGCTCTCAGCAAGAAGACCGTCGATGAGGTATGGACAGATATCCAACAAGGCCAGAAAAATAGTGATGAAGAAAAGAAAGTTCAGGAAAGGCAACCTACTTTGGGTGAGATGACATTAGAGGACTTCTTAGTTAAAGCAGGGGTTGTTGCCGAAGCTTCTTCGGATATGCAAAACGTAGGTACTACTGTGGGAGTTGACCAAGGTGCAGCTCCCCCACAAAGTTTTCCACAGCAATCTCCGTGGTTGCAATATTCAGTACCTCCAATGCAGCAGCAGCAACAACAACAACATCAACAACATCAGCAGCAACATCCACAGCAAAATATGATGGGAGTTTACATGCCTGGGCACCCGGTCCCACAGCCTCTCCCTCTGAGTGGTACCCCTCTTTTGGATGCACGATACCCTGATAATCAATTGGCTATGTCATCCCCATTGTTGGGGACACTAACAGATACACAGACACCTGGGCGGAAAAGAGTTGCTCCAGGAGATATAATCGAGAAAACCGTTGAGAGGAGGCAGAAAAGAATGATCAAGAACAGGGAGTCTGCAGCTCGGTCCAGAGCTAGGAAGCAGGTAGATATTCTGATTCTGTTGTTCTCTTAAAAGCAGTACTGCGGTGATAATATTTCTTTTAAGCATGAAGTTAAAACGATTCTTTCTATTGACAGGCATACACCAATGAACTTGAGAACAAAGTCTCACGTTTAGAAGAGGAGAATGAAAGGCTCAAGAAACAAAAGGTAAAATCTCTGCACTTGTTCTTGTGATTGATTTTGTTTTATGACAGGTGCCATTTGGTAATCAATAGATTTTATACTATATTCCTCTTTTTGGACTTAATATAAAGCGCAGAAGGAGAATGAGAAGACTAAAATGCCCATTTGAATTGAAAATGGCAGAAATTCTTGATGCTTGAACTTTTGATTCCAAGTCTGTTATGTTTACTGAGATTAATATACCATATGCACAGCACCCTAAGAAAATATTGTTTCAATAATAGTTTTTTATTTTAAGTCTACCTAGCAGTCCTCCAATTTGGTTAGCTACAGAAGTAAAAACAAGCAGCAATGCTTTATTGGTTTAATCAAGAAAAATGAGTAGAGAAGGACAGAGAAAGGTTCAGATCACTAGAAAAAAGTTAAGAGAGAGAAATAGGGTTTGAGAGAAGAGAATTGAACAGTTTCCCAGCCTCCCTTAATTGTATTTTATTAGTTTCTAATCATAAAAAATGTAAAATTATGAGAGAGCCCTTAATAGGGTGGCTGCACTAATATGCACTTAAGAAATGAGCAAACTTAGGCCCATAAATAAAAAATATATACAAGAAATAAAGCATAAGGCCCAATAGCTCAACACTCCCCTTCAAGATGAGCATGGAAGTCAATCATGCGCTGCTTGCTCATATACTGTTCTAGTTTGGGTTTTGGAACTCCCTCGGTGAGAACATTTACAAGTTGCTCCTTAGATGCAATGAAAGACAAACCTCCCTAAAGGCAACTCTCCCTCTCTCTCTCTCTATTGAAGTGTCTATCTGTCTCACTGTGTTTAGTTCTATCATTTGAATAGGATTTTGAGATATATTAATAGCTACTCGATTCTGCATCATCACAGATCGAATAGGGAGCCTAGGGAGGAGGTGACAGAGTAGCGGTAGTAAGCAGAAGACACTGACAGAAGACTTCCCAATAGAAACTCCAGACAGGGTGACTGCTGAGCTCCAAATTCTGGAACAGGAAAAGATAGACACTCCGTCTAGGGTGATTGTGTCTTCCCCCATTCTGGAACCAGATACTCTTGTCAATTCAGATTTAGATACTAACCTCTGCTCTATGCTTTTAGCTGTTGTTACAGGTTCCAATGCAGCGTCTAAGCTGCAAGCTGAATGTAGGGCAGAAGAAATTGGTATAAATGATGGGGGAAAAGAATCTGGGAGATGATTGAGATTTTTCTTGAGGAATTGAAGAGAGGAAGTAGAGATTGGATTCTACTGTGAGGAGGGAGAGTTTGGGACTGGGCATGATAAATGTATTACACAACATGGGGGAGATCCTGAAGAGGGAGGGATAAGAGAAGATGGGTCGGGTCCAGTGTTGTAGTGGCTGAGTTTGTGAAAAATTGGGTTGTCAAATTCAAGAGCCAAATGACTTGAAAGTGTATCTAGAAAAAAATAAGGACTAAGGAGGATGGAAAGGCTAGGAAAAGGAAATTGAGTGGAGTGGAAAGACAGGAAGAGATGTAGAATGGGATAAGGAATTTAGTGGAAGAAAGGGGAGGGTAAGAGGGAATAAGTAAGGAAAACTGGGAAAGGGGTCAAATTTGTGTCAATAGGAATGAAAATTGTATGTTGGAATGTAAGAGGCTTAGAGAGGGCAATGAAAAGATCCATAATCAAGGAAGTACTTAAGAAGGAGAAGCCAGGTGTTATTTTAATCAAGAATCAAAGGTAATGGATTTTGATAAAAGATGGGCCAGGAGTGTTTGGAGAGCTAGGGAGATTGGATGGGCAAAGTCCCCTTATTGGGGAGCTCCGGGAGGTATTGTTATAATGTGGAATTGTGAATCCTTAACTGGAATTGAAGAGTTTGGGTTAAATTCACAGTTTCAATGAAGTTTAGGCAAGTGTCAAATCGATTTGAATGGGTCTTGACAAATGTTTATAGGCCTAATGTGTGTCGGGAAAGAAATGAATTTTCGGATGAGTTGGAAGACATTAGAGGATTGTGGGATGGATCATGGTGCCTAGGGGGTGATTTCGATGTGATATGCTTTTTGGATTCTACATCTAGAAGTGGAATGGGACTCCCAAGTGGTATTTTGGCAAGAGCAAATTCTCAAGTCCCTTGGGTATTTTGGCAAAAATATAGGGAGATTGAGTGCTTAATAAGGGGGCTAAATGTTTCTTTCAAATGGGTGAGAAGAACAAATGGAATGGCAGACACTCTATCCAAACAAGGAGCCTTAAGACAGCATTTATTTTGGGCAATTTTGTGAAATCTTGTACTTTTGGGGTGGGTTTTACACACATCTGTTTGTAATCTTTAAGATACATTAATAAAATTATTTCTACTGATAAAAAAATTTTACAAGTTTTGGAAGAAACCAACAATCCGAGATGAATGGTTAATTTGAGCATGAGGAGATTTAACCAATTCATTGTTGCTTTTGGGCTTAAGGAATTGCCACCCTCTTACAATTTTACATGGTCTAATATGTAGGCTAACCCAATATGCTCCAAATTGGACATATTTTTGTTCACAATCAACTAGGAGGATCAATGGGGTAGCTTAATGGCTAGAGATTTTCCGAGAGTGACCTTGGGTCATTGGCTAATTTCCATTTCTAAGGAGAATGTAGGAGGCAGAGGTCCAACTCCTTTTAGATTCAAAAATATGTGGCTGTGCTCTAGTGGATTTGTTGAGAGAGTTAAGGCTTGGTGGGAACCAAGTAATCCAAGGGTGAAACGGGAAGGGATGAAATTTCATTGGAAACTAAAGGAACTTAAAAGGTAAGGTCAAAGAATGGAATATTCAACAAGATTGAGGTTTCGGACTTAAAAGAAGCTCCGGATCAATTTGAGGAAACAAATAAGAATGAGAGATGGGTGTTCAGGGGAAATTTTGAGAACCTTTTACTCAGAAGAAATAAGTTGGATATAGAAATCAAGAAGTAAATCGCTTAAGGAAGGCAATAAAAATACAAAATTTTTCATGCATTGGCTAATAAGAGAAGTAGTGGATCTTGCCTCTTCAATGCATATGAAGTACCATATAGCTCACTAAGATCTTTAATCTCATATTCTCTACTGAGAAACTGCTTCAACTACACTACACATCATCATTGGTGACCACAATGTCATTAACATAAACAATGAAAATAATGACCATATTCGCCCTCCTCATGTGTGCCCAACTGGAAGAGGAGAGAAGGGGAGAGTTTTGAGAACAGGGGAGGGGAACCGTCTCTGATATTTGGAAATCACCGAGCAAGATACATCAGTTTCAAAATAAGGTAGATGAAGAGGTGGTGTTGCGTGTGAGTGGGAGAGGTGGGTCCGTCTCTCAGGTTGTTGGGTCAGGTAGAAGGGGTTAGGCAGTTCAAAAGAAGCTTTTAATTGCATCATAGAGCACGTGACCTTAATTGCATCATGTCCTATAGATGACAAGAATGGTCTATTTTCGTCTCCTTTGAAGGCTGATTGTGACGTCTGATTGAAACATGGGAGTTCTGAGAGGTTTTCTGTGTGCAGGTGGTCGATCAAGAGAGGAAGAAGGATGAGGAAAGATTCAGCTATGTTCTTAAGGGCAAAAAAAGGTAAAAGATTTCAAGCAAAATTCTCTAAGAGCCTCTTATTTCTATTGGAAGAGGAAGAAGGATGTTTGGGAATGGGTGATTATGAAATATGTGGGGTCGGAAGACTTGAGGGTCTCTAAACATCCTGAGTATGAAACTAACTCAATGAAGACTGTGTGCGCTTCCATGGTCTAATGGAGTAGGAGGTACACAAGAAAATGATGATGCCAAGGATTCAGCCAATAACTCTAAGAAAGAAGTTCTAAAATTTTCAGACCGGATTAAGGAGGGTGATGGACAGGCGGAAAGAGCTGAATTGGAAGAAGATTGATAAGGAAGGAATGACACCAAATAGAAAGGATATGGTTCAGGAAGTGAGGGAGGTTATGAGAGCTGAGAAAGCTAAGAGGACGGATGTTGAAGAAGGAATGTGGTCTTCAATTTTGATAGGAAAACTGGGGATGGAGCTAGGTAGGAGAGTTGTTGAAACTGACCCTAGACTAACTAGTTCTGAGAACCACAAGGCTGAGGACTTGAAGAAAGTGAGAGGCTTTAGTAATGGAGAGCTCGTTCATGTCACCAAGGATTTTCATCGTCTCAAGGAAGGACTTGTCGGGAATGGTCCTTGCTGCAGATTTAAGCAAATTTACAAAAGGAAAGGACCTAAGGTGAACTCTAGGTCTAAGAAATGTCTGAATAAAAGCAGTGTTGCAAATAGTTCAGAAGCTGATGCAGGCAGGAAGACCCAGGACATCAGGTGTAGTAATCAAGATAAAGAAGCTTCCTTGGGGGAGAGGGAGGAAAGGAAGAGAGAGAGAGAGAGGAAGGGGCGGAGATTTTGAGGGAGGACACTTTTGAAAATGGGGGAAAGGGGGAGAGAAATGAAAATGATCAGTAATTGACTGGGGARGAAAACAGAGAGGTGGAGATGAAGATAGGAGAGAATAAAGCTGATACTGAGGATGTCAGCATTGAGAAGTGAAGAATTGATATTGAGAAGCTAGTAGATAGACAGGTGGAAGTTGGGAAATTTCTTGGTCTTTTCTTTTTAGGGGGAGAAACGGTAGTGAGGAAGGCAATCGAGCAATTTGAACAAAATAGAAGGCAGGAAATGGACAAGAGGAGTGCAGTTGGGGATGGGATGAGAATTGGGAGGGTGAAGAAAAGGAGTCAGATTTTGTTGATGAAGAGTGAGGAGGTTTGTTGTGATGTGGTTGAGAGGGGGAGGTTTGGAGATCCGTGGTTGCGCTATGCTTGGGTTCTGGGCTCTGCTGGCTTGTTGTTTAAGCTGCCTTTTGTTCTGGTCGAGGTTTTTTGCTTCTCTTTTTTTTTATTTATTTGATCGTGGGCTGATGCGGGTGCTTAATCTTTTGGGGGTCTGTTTGTTTGAGGGCCTTTGGCTGCTTATTGTTTCTGTTAGTGCCTTTGGAGGTGTTCTCTCAACTCCGTC